AGATTTCATGCAAGTGGCTATTTTTGAAAAGAAAAACTGACTAGTCTATTTTTGAAAACAAATTAAAAAAGTGAAAATAGTGATATTATTTTCCTTTTTAAGCTTGCTTGCGAAATTCCCTAATTGTTAATTATATTGAGAATCCGTTTGGTAACAGTAAAATTTGATGAATCGGCTGATTGTGCTGAAATCGATAAAGTTCTGATTGAAGTGGCTAGATAGGCTGGTTGTGTTGATATATGAAAATTTTATATTAATTGTTTTTTAATAAAATAAAGAAAGAATAATACGGAGTATGAAAAATAGCTACAATAATATTCTACAGTAACTTCAGTCAATACAGTCATAAAAGTAACTTCAACATACTTTTCTTATTATTAGACAATTCAACGCGCGAAATCAAGTTACGTGTTTGGTGAAAAAGTTGCTCATAAACCTGATTAGCTGAAAAACATGGTCTTCAAACGGGCTTTGAATAAGTCCATATTTAGAAACATCCTAAAAAATTCCATATTTAGAAATAGTATACGGAATACTTCGTATTAACTATTTAGTTTCAAAATTTTATTTTATTAATAATACTTACGGAGTTCTTTCAACAACAAAAAAATACTTACGGAGTATTAGATAACTATTCTGTAATGGTTCAAAGAAAATTGTTCGATGAATTACCCATTCACTTGTTAAATTACACATATGATTACCGTATTCAATTTACATGTTTTGACTTAAGTAGAATTTGAATTTGATTTGGTTTTGTCTATTTAAATATGATCGTATATGTTTAAGTATGATTTGGATGAACTAATCCAGCCTCTTTGGTAAAGCGTGGTATTGTGTATATTTGACTACTTTTTAAGTTTAATATTGATTCGATTTTGTCTGATCAAATTTGTTGTGATATATTCTGATCTCACTTACAATATAATGGTAAGATAATTGTTAAGACTTGGGGTTCCATCCTAAAAGGTCAACCTGATAGGAGGAGTAGCTCATGTGTTAATATAGCACTTTGTTCATCCAAATCTTTCCGGTGTGGGATATTTAACACCCCTCCTCACGACCAGACACTTCGTCTGGATCGTGCCATCATTAATTTTATTTTTCATCGGTCCGGTTTTTTTTCATCCGGCCGTAATTATCAATTTTTTTATAATCGTGTCATCACGATTCATAAAGGGCCCACGTCATGGATCGATTTGGCTCTGATACCATGTTAAGACTTGGGGTTCCATCCTAAAAGGTCAACCTGATAGGAGGAGTAGCTCATGTGTTAATATAGCACTTTGTTCATCCAAATCTTTCCGGTGTGGGATATTTAACAATAATGAAACTTGTTTAAGTGAAAAGATCATTAATATGAAAAAACCATTAATATTCGATTTGTTTAGATTCATACCGAATGAACTAAGAATTTGACACATATACTGATATACTCACCCCAACATGCATGAATTTCATCATAAAGTTAGTAATAAGGCAAGAAAAAAGAATTAGCAAGATAATTTTTGTTTTATTAGAAAAATAAGTTTAGTGAAATTTAAGTTCAACATAGGGGCATGTATCCATTTCCAACAATTTAAGTTCAACATAGTTTGATAAGTGGGAGTTGTTTAAGTAGACCATTTTCCTCACTTAAGATTCTTCCCTATGAGAGAGTTTGATTTCAAGCCACTAAAAAGTAAATTTGGGAGGCTTTTATCAAATCCAATAAATCAATTAAGAACATTTTTTTAATGTGCAGGAGCTTATAGAGATAGTCGTGAAGATCATGATCTAATGGATTGTTTCATTTGTTTGAGCAAACATATTGAAGCTGTGATGAGAACCCAACAGATTGTTTGAAATAATTTCTTAAAAATACATGATTAATGCGTTGAAGGTTAAATTCCAATCCCAAGGGCCCCTCACGTCCCATCCGACTCAGTCGGCCCAATAGTGATAGACCCTTGTACCCGTGCACACTAGAGTTACAGCTCAGCACACAAGAGCTGTAACCTCCACACAGCCGTTGCAGGTTTTTATCCTTGGTTATTCTTTCATATTCAATTCTCATCACTCAACCAACTGAGCTATCCGTGTGGGTAAGTCGGGGAAACAAAATCCCTGAACAAAAACATTATGGGAGCTTCGTCAATTCACCCTGTCAATGAAAACGAGCTCAAGGGCATGCAGACAAACTTTTTAAACTTCTAACTGTTGCGATATGATTTTTATATATATTTAAGCATTGAAAGAACGAATGGGGCGTGACCATTTAGATCTGGGACAGAGTTAGCAATGAAATGCAGTGATCCCATTACTTGTCCCTTATGGCATCCTGACATTATTGTTGAGATGAATGATACTCCGTATGAAGAAACGTAACAAGTAATGGGCGGGCCGGGGCCGATTGGATAGTCTGCGATTCGATCGCCATTTACAATTTTGGGAACAACCTCAGTACTGTTTAATAGAGTACAATCCTTTCAAAAAAATTACTCCCTCCGTCCCAGAATTAACTTCGGTTTTGACTGGGCACGGAGATTAAGAAAGTGGGAAATGTGTGGTGGAGAGTTGTGCAGAGGAGAGAGAAATGTGTAAGAATGGTTGTGAACCACAAATCCTTTGCTAAAAAGGGAAAGAGGAGATAAATTTGGGACGGACCAAAAGGGAAAGAATGAAGATAATTATGGGACGGAGGGAGTAATATATAAAGCACATTCTTCTAATTGAAATTGAATTCTTAATCTACCTACTTTTCAAATGAGAAGATTTTAAAGTTACGGAGGGAGTACATACCAACAAAGAATAATAAAGCTCGTTTATTGTTAGGAATACATTATGTTTCTCTCTAGAAAACTGGAAAATTGGAGAAAGCAAAATTGGAAAACATGTTTACATGTTCATATTGAAAAATAAAGACATGTCTTTGATATTCTTCTTAAGTCGGAGAACTCACTTTGCGGTGTTTTTTCAAAACGGAAATACGCAGCGCTACAATATGTTCTCTAATTGTTTTGCGCCCGAGTACTAATTTGATCGGGGTAACCTTTTAAAAAAACTACAATTTTTTTCAAGATCTATGCAACGTGTAGGTTAAATAATATATTTTCTTTAGGAAATTAGGAATATCAATTTTCACTTTTTTAGTGTTTTACAACATACTTTTAGGTATCATAATTTCCCCCCAAAATAAATAAATTTCTAATACTAATTCTCATTCATAGATCATGAAAAATCACATATCTTAAAAAAAATGCCATAATTAAACACATGGGCTTAAATAAAGAATACGTAGTATATAAAATTTTGAAAAAAAATTACTTTTGATGCGGTTGTTGCTATAATTAACCGCAATAAAAAATATAATTTTCAATTTAAAAACTAGGGAAAACTGTCAAACAGGTCCATGTACTATTTCAAAAAAGTCAATTAGATCCTTGTACTTCGAAAACACTCAATTAAAGCCTCCAACTTTTAATAAAAATCATTCAATTGTGCTGTTTTGCAGGTAGTTAACCGGTTTCCTTGGTTAACTGCACATGTGGCGACCTACCTGGCAGCCTTCGTGACATTTATTCTCCTTATCACTATCCTTTTATTTTTATTTTCCGTTTTGTTTTCCTTCTTCTACGCTGGAATCATTCCCATCTGTTCAGCTACTCGACGGCATCATGTTCTCTGCACTCATCTAGCTGAAAATCGATGGCCACCGGTACACCCTTCTTCATGCCGGACACCAACACACCCCTGACGCCGGCCACGAACGGCAACTCTGTATATGGCAGTATTTCCAATTTCTTCTTTCTCTCCCTTTCTCTTTCTCCAAATCTGTTCTCGCTCTCCCATTCTCTTTCTCCAGCTCGTATTCTTTGCATAAATTCATTTTACTCTCATGATTATGTGTCATCCGTATCCAGCCAGACTAATCAGGCCTTCCGTATCTAATCAATTGTATATATGTGTGTATTAATACCTATATGTATACTCAATTGAGAAGACAAATTTCAATTCTCAGTTTCAAGTGCTCAACTACAATGATATGAATCGACTTCTCCAGTAGTGCCACCCCTAATTTTGAAAAAAAAAAAAGGGATTCAGATTCCTCTCTGATATTTTAAATTTATGCCAAAGATTAGTGTTATATTTTGATAAATGGAATTAGTGGTGAATGTTTAGTTCAGTACCAGAAATATGAAAAGGAAAAAATAAGAGAAAGAGGAGATGCACAAAGATGTGGGAACTGGGAAGAGGGGCAGTTGGAGTGTTGGACGAAGGAAGGAGGAGAGAGGGAAAAAAAAGAAATAAAATTGAATCGATGGCAACATACAAAATGCCACATGGCAAGCCATATCACTTGTTACCGGCATCGCCAATACTCAACCGGTTGAAATGCAGGATTGGGTGTTTTTGTATAGTTTGAGAGCTTAATTGGATGATTTGATACAATTTTCCCTAAAAACTATTTTGTGGATTATCCACACCGTTCCTTTTTAATTGTAACATTTCACAAGTTTGACCGTTAATATCTTTCACTCCTTATTAGTAAAAAATTTAAAAAATTCATATTTTCAAATTTTAGAATCAAAATTTAGAATGAGAAGAATTTAACAATATTTAAAATTTAGAATGAGAAGAATTTAACAATATTTTTTTGTAAATTTAATTTATAATTCATAAATTAATAAAATATAGTCAAAGATGTAATATTAATTTTTAATGGTGTCAGGTAGTATTTGTCATTTTTTCCGCCTTCAATTCTATCGAACTTCAATTCAGTGTATATGCTTACTTTATAGAATTATAGTTTTGAAAATGGAATGGAAGACATAAAATTTTAAAACGTGTTCCAATTTGAGAGATGAATAACTATAAAATGGGAATAGAGAATTGAAATTTAGAAAAGAAATAAGTAAACGATGGTTGGAATGACGAGAATCCGCTATTATCCCTAAGTGTAAACATTTAGGGGTAATGAATGAGCTGAGTATTGTATAGAAATTAAAGAACACCCACAATAATTGAAGACCAACTCATATATATATCAAATTAACAAGAAAACACAAGTGAGACATGCAGCACTAGAAAAAGATATGGCTAATTAAGGGAAAGTAAAACGTCATATATCAGTACGTTCACCAATGTAGCAAAAAACAAACCAAACCCTTAGCTACAACCAGCTGATGAACTTACATAGAGACACTAGATATACTACACGAAGCAAATGATAAGGAAGCTAGGTTTCACAACTCCACCGGAGTGGAACTGATTTATTGAGTTAAACTCGGGTTCCGGCAATCCCCGCGGTGCCCTTCTCGCCTATACCGGCACCGTAGTCGTTGTCTCTGTACCCGGGACCGTAACGGCTGCTGAACCATCCGGCATGAATCATGAGCACATAGAGGAGTTGGGTGAAGGCCAGGATGATCACAAACGCCTCCAGTACTCTCAGCCTCCATCCTCTCCATCCTCCTATGTTGATCTGCTTGCAAGCCAACCTGCAAGAAATCCAAATATTGAAGAAATTATATGTGTAATTAATGGAAAAATAGAGATAAAATCACTACGAAAAAATTACGGGATTAACAGATAATTTCACATTGACATTGACAGATAATTTCACACGGATTCACGAATAATTTCACATATCGTGTCAACGTGTTTTTGCACGAATCCCGACGAATTTGTATATAAAAAATATACGTCAATCCCGTCAATCCCGTGTTTTTTTTGTAATTAAACTTTCCATTAATTTTTTTTTATTTAGTCAAAACGATCTTTAATATGATTGGGCATATATACGAACCCAAAAGCCAAGGCAGTGACAGCCCAGGCAACTATAGCAGTAGATCCGGCAGGGCCGAGGCTGTCATTCCTCCACACTCTCAGGTGATTTCCGCCCATTAGTTTCGATATGATTCCCAGAACGGCTGCCAGAATAGAGAACAGCAGGAAGAACATAGTCGCTCCATTTCCTCCAAAACCTTCATCATCATCAAATCATCATCATCAAATCAATTGAGAACAAATACGTATTAATTTCCACAATCAAGTTATATAGTTACCCTAAATAGGATGCCATGTTTGAGCCTACTTACTCTATCTGTCATGTGATTCATGAAATTACCAAATTTAGTTTACAATTTCGATATTAATTTTGGCCTTTCGGGAGAAACAATACTCAATGGAAGTAGTATAAGGAAATTTGGAGCATCAATATATAAGCATATCTCCCGGACATAACTAGGCGATGGCCCATCCGGTACAAAAGCATATTGACACACAATTGAGGATGTTTTCTTTTGGACTCAAATTTGCTGGTCCGGTTTGGTCTGTTTAAGTCTGGTCTGGTCTGAACTGGTCTGGTAAACGTCTGATCTGGTCTCTGTGTATTTTATAACTGTCCAAGTCTGGTCTGGGTATATTTAAGTCTGGTCTGTTTTTAAGTCTGGGACTGATAAAATTTGACACGGCTTTGGAAGTGATCCACAAATCTGTGTCCCAAATTCGTTGCAAATTTGGGCAAATCTCTTGCCAAACCCTTGAAAATGAAGAAGTGAAAAAACATAATTTTGACCAATGATGCTTAATTTTGACCCACCATATATTTTATATGTGTATATTAGCGTATATATGAAAATGTTTTTTTGTTAAAAATATATTATCGTATATACGTACGTAGTATAATTAATATACGCAGAGTATAAGTTATGCAAAATATACCTATGATAGTATTAGTTAAAGGTTAGTTATCGTATATACGTACGTAGTATAATTAATATACTCTGCGTATAAGTTATGCAAAATATACCTATGATAGTATTAGTTAAAAGGTTAGTTAAAAATGACTAACTAAATAGGGAACGAGGTGGGAGGTAGTATGAAAATCATCTAAACTTTTGTTTATACTCCCTTCCCATCCCATTAGTTAGCGGAACTTGAATTTTCTAACTTATTATTGTCTAATTTTGACCAATTATATATTTATATACAGAAGTAGTGATAATATGCTAAATGTTGTGGAAATATTTTTTTGTCAAAAATACTATCACAAAAGTATAAAATTATTAAATTTTGCATAGACATTAGTTAAAATAATTGGTCAAAATTTATCTCTTAGATTGAAAAAGTAAGAGATGGTTAACTAAGAATCTAAGATGGAGTATTAACTTATTGATCACTTATTGACTCAGCTCAATATAGCCTTCTATCTAGAATGGGTATGTAATAAATAGAGAGATTAATTCTTACTGGGATGATTAGTTTGGCCATTGATGAACCTATTGAGACACCAACTAGAAAACCCCAACACAATCAAGTACATTATCAAGTTCAGAAACAACAATGGAGCTGCCACGCTTCTCGCCACCGCCCTTGCCATCCTTCAATTCCTCTCCGATCAACTTAATTATCTCCGGCCGGCCTTACTTTTGATTTAATTTAATTCACAGCGGATATGTATTTTGCTTTTTTGAGATCAATAAATGGTGCGGGATGGATATGAGTATATAAGAAGGGTGGAAAAGGCCATGCAGGCTACGGTGGTGGTATACGTGTCAGGCTTACTAGCTTTGACGATGGTACAGGTGGATGGACACGTGTCGCCTCATGCCTATTCTTCTCACGCTTTCCTTTCACACAAGGCTTTCGCCAGCTTTGGCTGCTACTAATTCATTAAAATACGTTATCCACGCAGTGCTGAGGTATGCTCCGTTCCGTATTTTATGCATGTATGTACTTTGTAGAAGGCCAGCCATATATGCGTACCTACTAGAAGTCTAGAACACGCAGATAACATTAAATTAAAAAAACAAAAGATAAGAGGAGAAAATGCCCTAAATAAGACCAAAATAAAAGTAAAGTTTATAAAAATACAAAATTGTAATTTTCGTCCCGTAACTTTCAAATGTTTTGCTCATAACTTTGATCACTTGCAAATTTGGTCTATATATAAGTAATTAATATTTGCGATTTAAGGACTTTTCCCCAGAAAAGTACACTTTTCGGCGATATTATACTGGAAAAGATGTCCGGCGACGTCGGATTTTCTGTCGAAAAGTGTACTTTCCAGTGGAAAAGTTCTTAAATCTGCAAATATTTTATTTATTACTTACAAGACCAAATTTACAAGTAATTAATGTTACAGGACAAATAATGAAAGTTGCAAGATTAAAATTGCAAATGCCTCAGAATAATTTGTTCACATTCTACCTATTGCTCGTTTTGAAATAAAATAACACTTTTGAGAGGATACATGAATTTACTTTAAAATCTCAAAGTAGACCAAGTTTTTTTCATTTGTATTGAATGATTTCAGATCAAATATAACCGAACTTAAACAAAATAGATCAGACTAAATCAAAGACTTTCACAAATTAGATCAAATTGGATCAAATTTGAAAGTTGCGAAATACATCGAGATAAGACATCTATCAGACCAGTTCAGATCAAAGAATCGTACCTAAACAAATAGATAATACAAGACTAGATAAGACCATAAAATTGTATTCCAAGTAAAAGCAGGGACGGATCCAAGGGGAGCGCGGGGGGCGACCGCCTCCCTTGGACTTCCATTTTTTTCTACTATATATGTAATATTTTCATAAGACTTTCATAGTTTAATTACATGTATATGTTTTCGCCCCCTCAACTTTTAGTTTTCAAAATTAATATATAGGCTCACATAATGTACTACCTCCGTCCCCCTAAGTTTGGGACAAGAGAAGGTGGTACGCTTATTAATAAAAGTGGGTTTATGTGATTAATATTGAATAGATAAAGTAAGAATAAAGTAAGAATGATTTAGAACCACACAAATTTTACCAAATAAGATATGAGACAATCTTAGTGGGACGGACCGAAAAGGTAAAAATGGGACAATCATAGCGGGACGAAGGAAGTAATAGTTAATTGGTGATTTAAAAGAAGTAGAATCTAAAATAATTTACATAACTTAAACAAATAAACAATAAAACTCATTGTAAGACTTAGGATACCTAAAAATTCTTAGTTTTGTAATGTTTAATTTTCTTTATTAGATAATTAGTACTCGATTTTGTAAGATATCAAACGATATTGAATTTGAGATACAGTTGTTAAATAGTATAAATGTTTGTTGACATTAGATTACACTCTTCGTTTAGCTCTTACTTTCTAAAAACAATTTGTTGAGTAGATAATATATACTTTAACTTATTTTAGCATTAATACAAATATGATATGCACCATATATATGAATTAACATTACTATGTATTATAGTATTCTAAGTATAATAATCTCATTACTATTGTAATATTAAGAAAGCTCATCGTGACTCACAAATACCCTCCTTGGTAGACAAAAATCTCAATTCAAAAACCAATTCTTTATTCTGTTAAGGTTCATGTGGTTAAACAAGACATAAGTTATTTAAAAAGCATTGGTTGATGTGTACCTTTAATTTTAACCTCATTACTTTCAAATAATATCATAAAATATTATATATCATTTCTTATTTTCAAAGAATTTTCCTTTGATTTGTCATTTGTTAAGATTTAATGTATCAATACGTTTTTCTAGAGCACTTATAGTTATTAAATCGAAGTTATCTTTTCATTGTCTAAAATTAGAAATGGAATATAATAATAGATACTCCGTATAAATGTTAATATGTCATCGTGTATTTAGTATGTACTAATGGAACATAACTCTTTGAATAAAAATTACCCGCAGAGCGCTACACCAGCGAAAAAAATTTGCCCCGTTACACTAACGAATTTTTTCCTATCCCGCTTAACAGCGAAATTTTTTTCACTCCCTACACTAATGAAAAAAATTCGCCCCCCTTGACTCGAAATCCTGGATCCGTCCCTAGGTAAAAGCATCGTCCCAAATCTTATTACTACGTATCATACTCCATATAATTAGAGATTGGTTCCTTAAATGTTACTCCCTATGTCCCGTAATTAAGTTCCTACTTTCCTTTTTGCGATGGTCCATATTAAAGTTCCTACTTCAAACATTTCCTTATTTGGCAAATGATTTACCCCAAAACAGTGCCAAACAGTGTCAAACAGTGTCAAACAGTGTCCAAACAATGCACTCCACAGTAAAGTCAAATTTATTTCTTAATATGTGTGAAGTCAAACCAGGAACTTAATTAAGAACCGGAGGGAGTAGTGAAGTACGTACGTCCATCACACTATACGTCCGTCACACTAAAATGTCGGCGACGAAAATTGAACAAAAGTACTACCTCCGTCCCATATTTATCTTCATAGTTCGGTTTACGATGCTTGACTGACGATAAAGCAACTCGATCCCTGTTCACACTCGAATTATTTTTAGTAAATAAAATTTACATATTCAGAAACTACATTAAAACCGCTACAAAGCCTGATCAAGAAAATTTAATTTTGATAAAAATTTGATATATAAAGTAAAAGATTAAGAGTAATTTGAGTTGACCATGTGAATAGTAACTATGAAGATAATTTTGGGACGGAGGGAGTATAATATATGAACAAAAGTATCACTTTAAACAAAGAGTCGTATTCTTGTCATCTACCTTTTGTTTGATTATATAATTGTCAATATTTCATATTAAGTGTTACAAAAATTTTGATACACTCTTTTTTCATATAGCTTTGTTAAATTCTAAGTTACTTCTACGAGAACTTGCATTCTTCATCCATGGTCTCATTTCTCCTCTTTTATACGTCCGTCACACTAAAATCCTCTTGTACCAAATCGAGTAGTTGGCGAGTAATTAACCTGGAAAATAGAATGGGGCAAGCTAACATTCTAACCGACAAGGCTACCCTCGAATCGCATGTACTCGCCGAGTAGGAGCCCGTTTGGAGAACTCTGTTTTCGGCTTATCAGGCTTATTAGCCAGCTTTTTCACCAAACACGTAATTTTTACTTTCGCGCGCTGAATTGTGTAATAAGCCGAAAAAGTAAGGTTGAAGTTACTTTTCTGGCTGTATTGGCTGAAGTTACTGTAGAAGACCATTTTAGCTATTTTTACATATAATTTTTTCTTTAATTTATTAATAAAATATATTTTTAAAATATTTTTTTCTTAAATCAGCAGAATCAGCCAAAACAGCCACTCCAGCCAGAATATCATAAATTTCAGCAGAATCAGCCAAAACAGCCGATTTTGGTGCTACCAAACGGACTCTAGATAATCAAGTTTTTGTCACTTTCAGTCATCTAACTATTATGTCAGTTATATGACTTATGGTACTTGACTTTGTGTTTTCATTTTTAATCTTTCAACTTTTGTGCAACAGTTTTTCTAGTACCCGTCTTTGAGAATTTTCACATTTAGTCCTTTGATTTTTTTAAAAGCTAATTACAATTTTGGTCTTTCAATTAGTATAATAGTGACATATTTAATCATCTACTTATTGTGTCAGAATCATACTGAAAGTCTACAAGTACCAATTTGATGATACTCAGTGGACTAAATGAGAAAAACTTCGAAGTTAAGAACTACAAATTTCAATTTGATAAAACGGAAAAATCGAAAGTTAAGTTCTAAAAGTATCTTTGACATAATAGGTAAGAGACCGAAGATGGCAAAAACTCAAAGATTATGAGCCCGTTTGATGATATCCAAGTCGACTGTATTAGCTGTTTTAAATGAAATTTATGAAATTTTGCCTAAAATGAATGGATGGACTATTATGGTGATTTATAAAAAAAATACACTTACAGTATATTTTATTTTTAAAATAAAGAAAAATTTATACGGAGTATGAAAAAAGGACTAAAATGATTCTTTACAATATTTCCAGTCAAATACAATCAGAAAAGTAATTCCAAAATTATTTTTTTTAATATTACCGGCACAGTACGTGTATACAAATTACCTTGTTTAGTGATGAATTTGACCACGCTAAAAACAGTCCCCGAATGGTCTATACTGACTATACATCTGAGACAAATCGGAGTATTAATATTTTTTTTTCCCTAAAGAATATCCAAAGAAAAAGATGATGTTGATACCACATGCAGGAATCTGCTTGTTGCAGAAAGAACGGCAAAGCCACGTTATGGACCCCTTCCCAGATGATTTAGTGATTTGGTCCAGAGCCTGTTTCAGAGCCAATTCTTTCTTGGACAGATTATCTTTTCCTGTCACTCTCATCTACCTTGAGACACTCTTGTACTAAAATTAGGTAATTTTACTCGAGTCTAATAATTAATTCTATAGAAGCTTAATTATCATTTATGTTTTTTTTGTTTATTTGTGAGTCCTGCTACATGTGAACGGTGTGCGGTAATTTTTCCTGAGATTGAAGCATATGGTTGATTGCCCGCTTTGCTTCAAATAACAGGCAGTGTATGTTTCCATATTTTCTTTATATTTATCGATTCAATTTCCCCCACTGGATTTCTTTTTGTGGGCATATTGTACTTCAGTCTATAAATTCATTCTCCGATGGATGGTAGGAACTAAGAAAAACTAAGAAACATTTCATTCCTGATTCCAAGATTCAACCAAAGAAGGTGGTCAGCTCTCAGAAAAAGAAAAAGGTACTGCTTTGTTGTCCTATAAGAACTTTTTTAATCCTGCTGCAATTATAGGCTTTAATGAATTATTAATTTGCTAGGCTATATGGTTGTTTAGAACAATTTCTTCTATGTGGAACCTCAAAGGAACACTTTTCAAATAATTCACAACTAGACAATATATCCCAGTAGTGCGAAGCTGAAGCTAATCTAACACCTACTCAACATTAAGCTGGAGCAATATGGAATTCAATGCTCGAACTGATTTAGCACCAAGTATACATCTAAAATGGTTATTATATTATGAATGAGAAGTTCAAAAGATTTTCTATTGTGCTAATCCATTTGATTCAATCTTTTCAGTGAGGTCTGGCCTAAGAGTATATCTTGAGTTGAGTAACTTCAACCCAGTCCCAGATTCTATTAATTTCATATATGCTTGTTGTGAAAGTTTGCTGAGAGATTCGACATGGATGATTGGATAAGTTGGCTGCCTGATGACATTCTAGTTTCTATATTGTCTTCCCTGCCGCTGAAGGATGCTGGGCGCACTAGTGTTCTTTCATCTCGTTGGAAGAACATGTGGAAAAACACCTCCCACCTCAACTTTGTTGATGACAGTGCATTGGACAAGATTGGAAAAGATCAAAGGCAACGCAACATGGAAAGGAGCAAGTATGTAAGATGGGTGAACTCAGTCCTCAAATCTTTACCCCACAAAGGAGGGCTCACCTTGGAAGACTTCAGGATCTGTTTTGATGTAGGAAAGTCATCCTCTGAGGCAATTTCGCAGTGGCTTAAATTTGCTTTTGAGAGACAAGTTGAAAGGTTGGAGTTGGACCTTCTAGAATTTGGCCATAACATGTCATTGCCAGGGAATGTCTATGTCTTCCCAGATAAATTCTTGTTCCAAAATTCATGCGTCCTTCACTGCCCTCATCCTCCTACAACGTGTACTACACTTTTTAACTTTAAATCCCTCAAATCATTGTCTTTCAAGAATGTTCAGGTGAGTGGTGAAGCTATTGAGTTTTTCTTACATAACTGTCCATTCCTCGAGCAATTAATTCTCCACGACATAGAGAAATTATCAAAACTTGAAGTTTGCGGCTCATGCCTTGTGTTAAAGCACTTGGAGCTATGCTGCATCTATGATTTCATATCCCTTGAGGTGTCTGCACCAAATCTAATTTCACTTTCAGTTGGGACAACAAATGGACTCGTGCTTAAGAATGTTCCAATGCTTGTTGATCTACATATTCGTTGTGCGAAAGTTGAAATTCCATTGTTAGTTCCTGCACTATGTTGCTGCGTTTCACAATTGGAGATTCTTTCCTTGTCCCTGGAGATGCATCGGGTGAGACATCTATGGCTGGCTATCTATGAAAAAAAATGTTAATGAATCCTTTTTGTTTAAAAAGTTGGTTGTCACTTGCAGGCACATCATACTGTGATGCTCAACTTCCCTGACATGCCTAAACTGAAGAGGTTGGACCTAAGTTTTCAGGCAAACCGTGAAGCCCGTGATGAAAGTGTTCTTAAATTAACTTCATTAATCAGGAAATTTCCCATCCTTGAAGAATTTGTGTTAGAGGTGCTGGAGTTTGCCTGCTAGTGCATCTTGCAACAGCATTTCATTATAGACTAATAGACACACAGCCACACACATATTACAATGCAAAAGAAATGATTATACTATGTATTATTTATGTATATCCACTCCTCCTGCACATGTACTTGGCTTTTGCTTTTGGTTAGGGAAAAAAGATTGTCTCAGTCTTCAATTTTCATGCTGCAGATAATTTGGTTTGGGTGTTATACATGGACTGGCAGAGAAGTAACTAAGGTTACACAATTTCCTCACCAACACCTTAAGGTGTTCAAGTACTTAGGATATGATGGCCACAGCAGTGATTCTGATGCAGTAATGTTCATTTTGGAGAATTGTGTTGTGCTTCAAGAAATCATTATTGATCCCATTTGTCCACCATATCCATGGCATGCACCCCTAGGTAAGAGGGAATTGGAAGCGGCACAAATGGCAAGGAGTTGTGCGAAGCAGCTTTTTGAGCCCAGAGTCTCTGAGCATGTAAGATTAATTATACAATGATCTATATGTTCATCATTCACAATAATCCGTTTGGAAGATCGGAAGGCTCTACTGTTGGCATTTTAGGGCATTTTAGTTGATAATATGAGGGAGCTATCTGATAATTTTAATAGCATTAATTTTGTTGCTCATGTGAAGCGGTCGGTGAACCAAGCAGCATGTGAACTGGCAATGTTGGTTAGTTCTATGTCTAGTTGCTATGTTTGGCATCATTTTCCTCGCAAGCAGCATGTGAACTGGCAATGTTGGTTAGTTCTATGTCTAGTTGCTATGTTTGGCATCATTTTCCTCGTGCTTGTATTTGCTCTTCATTGAACCATGGTCTTATTAATATAAGGTAGTTTATTTTTTTGTAAAAAAACAATAATAATCCGTTTGAATTAAAAAAATTGTTCTTTCTTGACATTTAGGAAAACAATGTTTGTACACATTAAGTTGAGTCGAGCCGATATACAATCATTAGTTGTGAAATTAAGTCACTTGTTTGTGCAAAAAACCCATGTGAAAATTAAGTAAATTGTTCACTCAAACAACTATTATCTATACATAGACATTGATTTATATGTCCATAGTTGCTTTACACACGAACCTGCACAATGTAATTGTGTATAAATTCAATATGTGACAAGCATTAGATATTAGTAGTCTGCTCCAAAACGTTTTTTATCTATGAAATTTAGACCGTGTTTATATAATATTCGGCTAATGTGGTTGACTCAACTGAATCTGAATAGGAATGTTATACAGAGTATTTAATATATCTTTTGTTTGTAAAGTAATGAAAAAAATGGTATGGAAAGAGTTAAAATGGTGTTTAATTTAGAAAGATATAATCCCAACCTTACATATTATGACAATTTCATAATTCCGCGTGCAAAATCGTTATATGTTTGGTAACAAAGTCTACTATTAAGATTGATAAGCTGGAATAAGGTTTAACAAATGGGCTCTGGATCTTTAAAAATATATGTAAATTAGGTGCTAGGATCGAAATCCACGGCAGTCGTGTGGAGGTTACAACTCCTATGTGCTGGACTGGACCTCTGGTGCGCACGGATACAATATCTAGCATCGATCATTGGGCTTATTGAGTCATCATGACTTGGATTCAACATTTTGGAGATGGTAAGGAATTAGTAGCACGTTTTTTTTGCTTAACAAATAATTATTATTTTTTGGGGATGAAATGTAAATATATATTAACACCCAGAAAAATTTTCATCATATAGACAAGATCTCCTAACTCCCCCCACCCCCACCCCCACATAGTTGTGAGGGTGAAGAGAGGTTTTTCTTCGATCTAATCTATGGGAAATAACCAAGTATAACTACATGGCCCATCAAAATAAACTAAACAAAGAAGGTGCTGCCTAAGCACGCACACAGATCGGAGGCTAAAAAATCTAAACAAAATAAGGGTGCCGCAAGATGCAGACACCCAGAAGCAGTGAGACCAACACCACGACACCCATAATATCCATGCCGCGGCCTTCTAGCTCAGAACTTCACCAATTCATGCGGGTAAATACGAAATAGTATTTTATACACCACATGCTTAATCTTGGCGACCACATCATCTTCGGTCTTCGTGCCTTCATCAAATCTCACGTCATTCCTTGCTTGCCAAATATGATAGACCGCTGCACAAAAAGTCAATCGTCCTGCCTTGGCATTCAACGTTGATCCCTTGCGTTTCTTAGAAATCCATTTCATTGCACTTAGGAACGTATTCATCTGATTCTCAAAACCGATCCATGCCCTAATTTTTTCCCATACTCTGCACGCAAAAGGGCGAAGAAAGAAGAGGTGTGGAATTGTTTCCAATCCACCCTTGCACAGATCACATCTATTAACGATATAGAGGTAATCAAGGCTATCCTGTGTAGGGAGCCGATTCCTCAAAGCCAACCACACAGTAAAAGAGAATTTCGGAGGAATGTAGGATTTCCAAATGAAGGTCATTGGAGTCCTAGGGGTCCCTCTTATTCTTAGAAGATCATATACTTTACCCGACACCAACTTACCATTGATGCATCTTGCATTTGCACCAAGTATGGTCTCATTTAGGTTATTAGAACACCCTCGAAGTCTATCCCGAATGAGACCTAACCTCTTCATAAGCTGAGAGCCTCGGCTATGTGGGACAAAGTCCCACACATTTTTATCACGAAGATAAACGCCATTAATCCATCGAACCCACAAAGTATCCTTCTTCTTGTGAACATCCCATAACGTGCGGGCAAGTAGACTATCACTCCAGACTTTGGCATTGTGAATGCCAAGTCCACCTTCCTCCTTTGGAAGGCAGATGTCATCCCAAGCCACCTTGGAGTACTTCCCACCCCATAGGAAAATTCTACAACTTGACACTATCCTATCCAGTATGTTTTGAGGAACCGGAAATATTTGGAGCCAAAACGATTGGACCCCTTGAATTACCAATCGAATTAGCTCAATTTTGCTGACCTAGGATAGTGTTTTTGTATTCCATGCTTTTAAAAAATTATTGACCATATCGAGTAAAGGTGCATATTGTGCAACCGAAACCCTAAGTGGAGCAAGAGGTATTCCAAGGTATCTTACCGGAAATACCCCTTGCCCATAATCAACAATATCCAAAATGTTTTGGAGTTCTTGGTCCCTCACCCCACCCACGAAAATATTAGACTTTCCGTGATTCACCCTAAGGCCCGATACGTCCCCAAAGTCTTTCAGAGCATTGACCAAAATGAAAACGTGGTCGGCAGGATTCGAACCTGCGCGGGCAAAGCCCGCCTGATTTCTAGTCATGCCCGATAACCACTCCGGCACGACCACAACTTGTTGCTTAACAAATAATTATATTGCTTAGTACAATAGGGCTTAGATCTAATACAAATGCAAAATACAAATACTTAAGATTCGTTAATTTATTTCATGAGTTGGTGAGTTGTAACACTCGAATTACACTTTTGAGCATGTGAGGTGTACTATTGGATTGAATAGTTTCCCACCATCCACTTTTGATCATTTACATTAAACTACTGAACGTCGAAAGAAAGTTTACTTTTTACGAAGTAAAACTTTTTTAAGTGCAGTGGTCTAGTTAGTCTAATCGATTTAAATTTAATCAAGTTTAGTCTGGTCTTAGACTGAAAACTGTCCAAGTAAAGACATTCCAAATCGCATTATAGTGAAATTAAATATCGAGCATAAGGAAAATTGACACAAATATTACCTATAGCTTGTGAAATACAAAAAAGTGACCCCTTTATCAAAACTATGACTGACCATTTGTTTAATTAATCCAATTTTTTTCCTAATTAAAATTATTATCTAATTCCCCCACACTTGTCCAACCACTGTTGGGAGTTGTTGCTGAAACCTGCCAACAGAAGTTGTCTTTGAAAAATTTGAATGTTTTTTATCATTCTTTTTACCTTTTTGAAAATTTGTAGTAAAATTTTCAAGAGTCACAATGGCATCTATTAGTGATGAAATTTTCAAGAGTCACAATGACACGACAAAACCGACAAAACTGATAAAACCGAAAACCAATGCCAGAATTGATCGAAAAAGTCGGTTATCAGTCGGTCATCAGTTATTACATACTATCTATTAAAAGAAGTCAGTTATTCGGTTATTCGGTTATTCGGTTAACGATCAGTTATTTTAATTGGTTATCGGTTGGTTAACCGAAAACCGAGGTATAATCTACTCTGTATAAACATTTGCATGTACTTCATGTGACCAAATTGAATATATATTGTGGATACAAATATGTCTTTTCATACTTTAATGACTATAATTGTAATTTAATGTGCGTGATTGTTTCAATCTTACATTATAGTAATCATGAATGGTATACTCATGTTAACTTTAGTCATATTAAAGTTTACTTTAGTATGTAGTACGATAGTAATATTTAAGGAAATCCCTCATATTTTAATAAATTTCATGTATTTGGTATTTAGTGGTTGACCCAAAAGAGATACAATGACACTCATGCACAAGAAAATCTACCAGCAGCGTAAGAAAACTAATTTTATTATGAGATAATTTAATTCATTTCTTCTTATTTATTTCATGAATGAAGAAAAGGCATTTTATATATGATCAATTATTTCATTCATTTTGTTTTGTAGTGTAAAAAATCAATTATTTTCATCTATTTTTGTATCAAATGTTTTTTCTTATATGTTTATTTAAAACATTCAATTTTTTGAAAAACAATTGCTTAAAAAATTTACATGGTCGGTTATTGTCGGTTATTCGGTTACCGACCGAAACTGAACTACGTTTTTCGGTCGGTTATAGTGATGTTATCGATCGGTTGTTAGAGTAAAAAAACTTGGTCGGCTATTCAGTTATCGGTCTGTTATTTGACCGACCGACCGAATGCTCACACCTAATGGCAGTGACATCACGTTTTTCCAAATATATTACTACCTTTTAGTCACATTTTTATCCAATTTTCAATTACAAAAGTAATTAGTTTCTTAGAAATTGGCTTAGATTTAATCATATTTAAAAAAAACCTACAAATGATAAAAGAGGTTTCCTTTAATATTACTGAAATATAATATATGGATAATAATATTACTAGAGTTACTATGCATAATCACTAAAGTCGTTATGTTAGTCACTAAAGTACTAAAAGTCATATCTTTATCCTCTACCTTCTATTTTGGTCATATAGTTATCCTTATTTCACACGTAAATGCACAAAATAGAAATCTACGACCAAAAAACAGGGATTCAAATGAATCTCTAAATTTCTAATGTTACCGAACTAAAAAAACAAGGGATTCAAATGATTCTCTAAATTTCTAATGTTACCGAACCAAAAAACACGGATTCAAATGAATCTCTAAATTTCTATCCTGAACCGTAATGTACCGATTCCAAATCATGCCATGAACGATTCTCATAAAATGAGAACTAGTACTTGATTGGTACCGGAGCAAATCGGACTGAAGTATAAATTCAACATACATGTAGACCATGAGTTCCTAGTACGTAGTAACTTTTTTGCTTTATTAGTTATTATACTCCTATTCAATAATTTTGCTCTCCGGAGTATCCAATAAAGTGAGTCCCCACTCCTACAAATACACATTTTATAAGTCCTTAGTACAAATTTGTAGTTGCAATGCTTATGATGTTTTTTTGGATCGTTTTCAGTCCTAGATCAGATCAGATCAGATCAGACCAGAACAGAACAGACTTCCGTAGTTATAAAATACACATAGATCAGACATGTACTAGACCAGATCAGACCAATTCAGACCAGGTCAGACTAGCAATCACTAAGGAAAACATCCTTAGTATTCTAAGTTAAAAGTTATCACTCGTGATTCATGTATTGTACTACTAGAGTTTATCTCAAATTTATTAATTATATGTAGAGCCCGTTTGGAAACCCCTTTTTTCGGCTTATCAGGCTTATCAGCCAGCTTTTTCACCAAACACGTAATTTTTACTTTCGCATGTTGAATTGTGTAATAAGCAGAAAAAGTAAGGTTGGAGTTACTTTTCTGGCTGTATTGGCTGAAGTTACTGTAGATGACCATTTTAGCTATTTTTACATGTAATTTTTTCTTTATTTTATTAATAAAATATATTTTTAAAATATTTTTTTCTAGAATCAGCAGAATCAGCCAAAACAGCCACTTCAGCCAGAACTTCATAAATTTCAGCAGAAACAGCCAAAACAGCCGATTTTTGTGCTACCAAACGGGCTCGTAATATGAAAATCCATAAATTGTGTGGAGTTTTGGAATATGACTAAATTTTAAGTTTCCATTAAACAATTGGGGAAAATGACGTTACTTGGTAATAGTATGGTATCGTCCCGTTTGAAAATGAAACGTTACCTAGTGAGTTTAAATCTAAGCCCTTACCAATAGAATTGTTTCAATAGTCACTGTACAGATTCAAGATTTTCAGTAAAATATTGAACAGTCCCCGGACCGAGCTCAGACTCAAGAGTTTAAGGTTATCCGAACTGAAACCCGAAAACAACCAAAATGCTCGTAAATTGTCTATCTAAAGGAGTGTTTGCAAAAACTTAAAAAAATGTCTTTCAGCTTTTGACTTTAAAAAGTTGAAATTGGTGTTTTATAGTGACAGCTTCTGCTTAAATTAAGCACTTAAAAGCAAGAAGCAGGTTGAGGGATAATTTAAACTGATTTTCACTTTTTCTATTACACAAAAGAACACTTAATTTATCAAACACTACAACTTTTTACTTTTTCAGAAGCACATTTTTCTTAAACACTACCAACTCTTACGATTACATACTTTTTCCAAAATCACTTTAAACACCTTTTTTTTAAATTAGAAGCAATAGCAAACACTCCCTTAAAGATTAGGAGTCAAATGATTAAAAGTAGAACTTTTAGACTCTTAATTAATTGAATGTAGTGGGAGATTAAAAGTGGGAAGGAGAGTGGAGTGTAAGAACATAGGGTTGGGTTGATAGGGTTGAAAGAAGGCTTCCATCATGGTGACGTTATTATTAACCCAAATTGTTTCAAATTCTTATAACTTTTGTATTTGTTCTCCATCTTTTTCAAAAATATGTATATCAAAACTAATGAATTTTTAAGATCTTTCATATGACACCAATACGTAATATACAAAATGAAAAAAGAAATATGAAATTTTAGTTGTTGAAATTTTTTAATCCCAAAAAAACATGAAACACAAAATTTTGATTTATGGAGCCCAAGTAAGTGAATACTCCATAATCGAATTTTATTTGAACTAAGTTCATTTTTTGTTAATTGAAAAGATTAAAAGAATTAATGAAATTTATTTATTTTTACATTACTTATTTTATTTCATAATCTAAAATATTTTTTTTCTTATTTTTCTTTTCAGGGAAAAAATTAAATGTACATTACTTATAATACGTAATAATTTAGTTAATGTTTTAAGGAGTATTAAGGGGGTGTTTGGATCTGATTCTCAAAACTGATTCTGCTGCTTCAGGGAGCAGAAGCAGAAGCTAGAATGTTTGGGTGAAATTCCAGAAACACTTTTGGAACTCTAATTTATTCTAGTTTTTTAGAAGATGGGAGGTACAACTTTTAAAAAAGAAACCAGAAGCACGGGAGCTAGCATATCCGGATATCCTTCCTACTTCTCCTTTCTTTAGGATGAGAAGTATTTGGGATATTCTTCCTCCATTTCCTCGACAACCCGTAACAATAACGCACTAAAAACACTATTCCTAACTCAAACTCTTTTGATTTTTCAAGGAATCTCTCACGGTTGGATTTGGAAACCGAATATGGGTTGAGTGTTGTTGATCTTTGGAGACCTCATACCTCTTTTTTCAACTCAATCCAAGCTTGCCGTACAACACTTCCGAGGAGGAGCACAACAACACTATTCATAGTTAACTTTTTGTAATCCAAAGATCTACGAAAATCCAAAGCTTGGGGGAGGATTCTAAACTATGTTTGGGGGTCGCCTCACCTAGGCGACCCTCTAGGCATCTTTTCACTTCCATCCGAGGAGGCAACTAGGCAAGCTCCCGAAAAAGCTACTGCTATTTTCCTTTCAGAACGAAGAGGTGATTTTTTAATCTTGTTTTGTTTATTTGAGGGTCCTGCTAAGTGTGAACTGTGTGCGTTTCAGGCAGTACGCCAGAAGTATCTGGTTTAGCATCTGAGATTCAAAATCCATACTTTGCAGTGATTTTTCCTGAGATTGGAGCAGATGGTTGCCCACTGCTAATTTCTAGGTAGTGTGTGTTTTTCCTGTTTTCATGGTATTTATCGATTCAAAGATTCCAAGATTCAACCAAAGAAGGTTTGGTTAGCTCTCAGAAAAACAAAAAGTTGCTGCTTTGTTGTCCTACATACTAAAAGAACTTTTTTTAATCCTGCTGCAATTTTAAGTTGTAATGAATTATGAATTTGTTAGGCTATATGGTTGTTTAGAATAATTTCTTTTATGTGGAACCTCAGACTATCTTGTTCTAATTCTTTTAAATTTTGAGGCTTCTTAAGGGGCAAACTCTGCAGTTTTAGTGAATTAGGGAAATGTTGGCAATGTGGAACTTTGACTCATTTTGGGTGTGCTAGAGTTGTTGTACTTGATTAAGTGACTTGCAAACTCGCTTGCTTGGATTTGTAGAGGCAATATGGAGAAATTGCTTTTCATATATTTGGAGACAATTTATTGGTCGCCTCAAATGAATTTGTCACTAAATCGTGTTTGCTCTTAAACCGTCATTAGAGGCAACAAATATGTATTGTTGAAAGTTATACATTTAAGGGTGAACGTATTATCTCGCCTAAAAGTATCAACGGACGCAACCAAGTTATACTGATTCAAAATATCATGTGAGGCAACCATACTATGGTGATCCACAACATTGTTAGAGATAATGTCTTAAATTGCAACTAATAATATTTAAGTGCAAGTGTGCAACTTATTTAGGTGTTGTGAAAGCTATTTAGAGGCAACCATGAGTTCATGTTAAGGGTTAAAAGACATGGATTTAGTGGGAACCATAATTTGTTGCCTCTATAAAAGTAGAGTTATTATAAATTGTTACACAAAATCTTTAGCTTTTGGATGCAGAAATTATTCTAAAAATTTAATCAATATATTATTCTTTTTGGCTGCATTAGCAAATATAGCAAAGTGCAAGTCCAAACAATAAATTTCATTTGAATCATCAATCAATGCTAGTTATATATCACGTTAAATTGAAAATAAAATTTTATGATTCAACAAAGGAACACTTTTCAAATAATTCATAACAGGACATTGTGGACAATATATCCCAGTAGTACGAAACTGAAGCTAATCTAATGCCCATGTAACATTAGCTGGAGCAATATGGAATTAAAAGCTCGTGCTGATTTAGTGCCCAGTAAACATCAATAATGGGTTATTAACTTATTATTATGAAATAGAAGTTTGATAGATTTTCTGTTGTTCTGATCCATTTGATTCAATCTTTTCAGTGAGGTCTGGCCTAAGACTCTTATATCTTGAATTGAGTGACTTCAATCCAATCCTAGATTCTACTCATTTCATATATGCTTGTTGTGAAAGTTTGTTGAGAGATTTGACATGGATGACTGGATAAGTTGGCTGCCTGATGACATTCTCATTCCTATATTATCTTTCCTGTCGCTGAAGGATGCTGGGCGCACTAGTGTTATTTCATCTCGTTGGAAGAATATGTGGAAAAACACCTTCCACCTCAATTTTGTCGATGACAGTGCATCGGACAAGATTGTAAAAGATCAAAGGCAACACAACATGGAAAGGAGCAAGTATGTAAGATGGGTGATCTCAGTCCTCAAATCTTTACCGCACAACGGGGAGGTGACCTTGGAAGACTTTAGGATCTGTTTTGATGTAGGAAAATCATCCTCTGAGTCAATTTCACAGTTTCTTAAATTTGCTTTTGAGAGACAAATTGAAAGGTTGGAGTTGGACCTTCTAGAATTTGGCTGTCACATGTCATTGCCGGGGTATGTCTATGTCTTCCCAGATAAATTCTTGTTCCAAAATCCATGTGTCCTTCACCGACCTCATCCTCCTATTACTTGTACTACACTATTTAACTTTAAATCCCTCAAATCATTGTCTTTCAAGAATGTTCAGGTGAGTGGTGAAACTATTGAGTTTTTCTTACATAATTGCCCATTCCTCGAGCAATTATTTCTCCACAGCATAGAGAAATTATCAAAACTTGAAGTTTGCGGCTCATCCCTTGTGTTAAAGCACTTGGAGCTAAGCTGCATATATGATATCATATCCCTTGAGGTTTCTGCACCAAATCTTATTTCACTTTCAGTTGGGACAACAAACGGACTTGTGCTTAGGAATGTTCCAATGCTTGTTGATATACATATTTGTTGTGGGAAAGTTGAAATTCCATTGTTAGTTCCTGCACTGTTTTGCTGCCTTTCCCAATTGAAGATTCTTTCCCTGTGGCTGGAGATCCATCAGGTGAGACATCTATGGGTGGCTATCTATGAGAAAATGTTAATGTATCCTTATTGTTTAAACAGTTGGTTCTCACTTGCAGGAACGTCATATTGTGCTGCTCAACTTCCCTGACATGCCTAAACTGAAGAAGTTCGTCCTAAGTTTTCAAGCAAACCGTGATGAAAGTGTTTTTGATTAGTGAAATTTTAGCATTGGCATTACCAGAAGTGCCCCAAATCATTTTAGAAAGTTCATAAACCATAGAATCGTGAGGCTTATCAAAAGTAGGGACATGAACTTTCTCATAAAAGGTCAAAAAACTCTTTTTCAGCCTCCTAACCTTATCGGTTATCTGGGTCCTCTCAACAGAATTATTCAATCTATCTGTAATGTAGTCATAGAAGGTAATTGTACAAACCCTAGCCCCTCCTTGGGCCTCGTAGTAAACATTTTCTTGGAAAATAGCAATCTCATAATCTTCACTCCACCAAGGTCGTTTAGCCGCATACTTCTTTATTTTCTCTCCCAAAGAAGAAGAAGAAAATAAAGAAGTTTGCGGCTAAACGACCTCGGTGGAGTGAAGATGATGAGATTGCTATTCTCAAAGAAAAGGTTTACTACGAGGCCCAAGGAGGGGCCATGGTTTGTTCTATTACCTTCTATGACTTCATTACAGATAGATTGAATATTTCTGTTAAGAGGACCCAGTTAACCGATAAGGTTTGGAGGCTTAAAAAGAGTTTCTTGACCTTTTATGAGAAAGTTCATGTCCCTACTTTTGATAAGCCTCACGATTCTATGGTTTATGAACTTTCTAAAAAGATTTGGGGCATTTCTGGTAATGCCAATGCTAAAATTTCATTAATCAGGAAATTTTCTAACCTAGAAGAATTTGTGTTAGAGGTGCGTGAGTTTGCCTGCTAGTGCATCTGGCAACCTCATTTCATTATAAATACACACACATATTACAACAACATCCAAACCTTATTCCCAAAAGATTTTGTGGTCGGCTAACATGAATCGATCCATGATATCAGAGCAAAAAAGATAAGAAAAAGGATAAGTAAGATAAAATGGATAAGATAAAAATAACATAAGATAGAGAAAAGAGATAAAGAACATTAAAAAAATTAAAGATGAAAATATCATAAGAACATAAAATGATAAATAAAATAAAAGATAAAAGAACGAAAGAGAAAAGAAGAAAAGAGATCAATCGTCCACACGTATATACACACACATATTACAATGTAAAATAAATAGTTATACTTTTATTTATGTAAACCCATTCCTGCTGCAGATGTACTGCTTTTGCTTTTGGTTAGGGAAAACAGATTGTTTCAGTCTTCATTTTTCATGCGCAGATAGTTTGGTTCCGGTATCATACAAGGACTGGTAGAGAAGTAACTAAGGTTACACAATTTCCTCACCAACACCTTAAGGTGTTCAAGTATTTAGGATATGATGGCCACAGTAGTGATTCTGACGTAGTAATGTTCATTTTGGAGAACTGTATTGTGCTTCAAGAAATCAATATCGATCCCATTTGTCCACCATATCCGTGGCAAGCAGCCCCAGGTAAGAGGGAATTGGAAGCGGCACAAACTGTAAGGCGTTGTGCGAAGCAGCAATTTTAGCCCAGAGTCTGAGCATGTAAGATTAATTATACAATGATATATACTATCGTATATTTTAATCATTCTTAATAATCCATATGGAAGATCGGAAGAGTTTGCTTTTGGCATTTTAGTTGATATTAGGGGGCTATCTGGTAATTTTTATAGCATTAAGTTTTCTCACGTAAAGCGATCGGTGATCCTGACAGCACATGACGATGTGGCTAGGCTGGCTACTTCTATGTCTGGTAGCTATGTATAGCATCATTTTCCTCATGCTTTTGTATTTCTTCTTCATTGGACTATGGTCTTGTTAATCTAAGTTAGTTTGATTTTTGTCAATAAAAAATCCGTTTGGAATGTTATTTGTGCTTTCTTGATATGTAGGAAAACAATATTTGTACCTAGAGGAGTCAAGCCAATAGACAATCATTACTTGTAAAATTAAGGGGGGTGTATTCATTTGGGAATTGGGACTTTTAAAGACATTTTAACATTTGGGAATTGGGAGTTGGGAATTGGGATTTTTAAAGACATGTTAAGATTCTGGATATGTATTCGCATCTCCCGGGCCGAGAATGATTGACCAAACCCACCAGATTGTTCTTCTTCTCTTCCCTTTTCCTAATTCCAATTCCTAAAGTAGAGACTAGCATCTTCATGACATCTGAAATAAAATTCCTCTATAGCAATGAGTATGACCGCATCTGCCGATTTCTAGCCGCACTTCTTTCATAACACTTTTTGGTCTTCAAATTCTAACATCGACTCATTGAGTAGCAATCTATTTATCAAACATCATTACCCATTTTCAAGGATCCTGCTAGCTCGCCACTCCCTCCTATCGTCATATCTATGTGAATGAGAAGAAAAACATTGAGAGCAGAATAACTGGACAGCGAAGGGCAGCAGCTATTTAACAAATCTCACGTAGAGAGGTGAGATTTGATGGTGGGATTTCCCATTGTATTTTCCTGGTAGAATCCTACTAAGTCCCATTTCAGATGACAATCCAAAGTCCAGTTTATATTTTAAATACACCAAGACTTTTCTAGATTCCGAAAATGTTTTAAAATGTCTCAATTAAATACACCTGGATTTTGGAAATCCTAAAAATGTTTTTAAGTCTCAATTAAATATACCCCCTAAGTCACTTGTTTTTGCAAAAAAAATGTAAATTGTTCAAAGTCCCATTGTATATACATTTGTTTACATGTCCATAGTTGCTTTGTAGTTTGCACTTGACCGTATGTATGAAATTCAATGTGACAAGCATTAGATATTACTCCGTAGTAGTTTTGCGGCAAAATGTTTTTTTTTATCTATGAAATTTAGAGCTTGTTTGTAAGTTGTAACATTATAATTCATTGATCTAATGATTTGCTGATATTGATGAAATATTGATTAAGCTACTGAATCAACTGAATCTAAATAGAAAAGTTATATTTAGAATATATTTTGTTAATAAAATAATGAATAAATTGTATGATATAGAGTAGTAGTTAAAATGATCTTCTATATTAACTTTAGTCAGAAAACTAACTTCAGACTTGCACATTTTAAAAGTTACCCAGCTCGAAATCAAAAGCGATGGTAAAAATGTTTGGTGATAAGTTGAAATTTGAAAATGGGGATTACCAAATTGGACTTTGATCTTTGCTAATAACAACTTTCATACAATTTGTTCATTTTTTGGCAAAGGCACAGTGTTTTTTTTAATGTAAACATGCAACTTCCATTTATTAAGCATATTGTTCCTCTTGACTTGCAACAAAACCAGGAATTAAAGCATAACTAAAACTATGATTTGAGATGGATACATGCGCCCTTGCTATCGCATGGATAACATGATTCGCTGACTATTTACAAAAAAGAGATATGAAAGTTACTCTTTGTTTGAATAAGGTGTCTGATACTCTGATATAATAAATTAGCAAATCCAGATAAGATCGACCTTCTCCTGCTTTTATTCCTTGTAGCATCATGAGCGCATCAGATTCAATCTCAATCTAATTCCAACCCCTTTCAATGCTCCCAAAATTGCTTCTCAAATGCCAACCGCTTGTTTTTTTTTTTACTTTCATTGGGAACCAATCCGCTTGCTTTGACTGGCCAAAAGCCATGATAAATTCTCACCATCATCCCTAACAATCCAGCCTAGTGGTGGACCCGTGAACCGGCCCCGGCCCGCTACTGTGCGGGCCTGGCACCGGCCCGGTCTGGCGGTCCGGGACCGGGTGGTGACCTGAACCGGTGGGATAGTGGGGGGCGGGCACGGGTAGGGCAAAAAGGGACCCGGCCGGGCCGGGCCCGGTTCGGGCCCAATTCTTTTTTTTTTTTGCATTATTTTTGGGTTTCCACCGGATTGGGCTGGGTGTTTTGGGGTGGGGTGGGGGAGTTGGGGGGGGGGGTTGGGTGAGGTCAGGGGTAGTTAGGAAGGCAAAAAAAATACATTAGACCCGATCCAGCCCGGCCCGGACCCAGACCGGACCTGGTGGATACCCAGGCCGGTCTCGGGTCTACCCATTAAAACTCAAAGGCCCGCAGGGCCTAACTGATCCAGCCCCAAGCTCTAATACCTCCTTCGGAATTGACAACCGCGTCAACATTAACCTTTATATAACCCTCCTCCGGTAGCTGCCATCGTATTACACGATCCCCTCCACCTAGGGGTGGATTCGGGCCAGGCCGGGTCCGTATCAGGCCTAGGTCCGGGTGGACCGGCGGTTCGGAATTGGTGGACCCGGGTAGCCAGCGGGTCCGGGCCGGGCCTCCGGTTTGGTTTTTTTTTTTTTTGCTTTCCTACCCCCCCCAAACCCTTCCTAACCATCAAGCCCAACCCGGGTGGAACCCCAAAAAATGAAAAAAAAAAATCAATTTGGCCCAGACCCGGGCCCGACCCGGCCGGGCTGGTTCGCCAAATGTAAGACCTGAGCCCGGACCCGCACCCCCCGGGCCTGGGCCCGGACCCGGACCCGAGAACTGGGCCGGTCCACCCCTGCCTCCACCTTGCTCCGTTTGTGGCATTTAAATTTGTACTTCTTCCCAACTGCTAAGCATGCTTGCTGCACAGTTGATCACCATCGAAGCTCCATGTAACAATCCCTTCTATACCATATTGTTTTTTCTCTTCCACAAGCTCCACAGGAGCATAATAAAAATACAAATTTTTCTTTTCGACTTCTCCAGAATTTCCTTAATCCATTCCTCTAGCATCCCAGCTGCCGAGTAGAAACAAGTACTGGTCTTCTGTCATACTTCTTGAGATTTATGACCGAAAAGCATGGTCATCTGTCTCTTCCTCCTGCCCGCATAACCTACAATTCGCTTGAATAGATAGAAATAATTACATAAATATGACCACAATAAAGATGGTTTACAAAAATATGATTCATTACTAGAGTAGTAATGAAATCATAGTAATTTATGTTCAAGTTTTGAACTTTAGTTACCACAGCACTACGGTGTAGTAATGAATAGTCATATTTATGTAAATAAGTTTTATTTTGGTAATATTCTCGTAAAAACCCCGAATAGATAGTAGTTAAAATGGTCTTGTGCATTAATTTCAGTCAATTTTGTCAAAATAGGAACTTCAGTCTTACAAATTTGATAGTTAGTACATATCGTGAAATAAAAAGTTATATGATTGACAATATAATAAATATTGAGTACTAAATGGGTTCTAAATCTTAATATAATAATATGTATATATATATATATATGAGGTGCTATATTGTTTCAACTTATCAACAAACTTATTTACTCAACATATAACTTTTGATGTAGTGTGCGTTGTGACTATCAAAATATATAAGTATGAAGTTACTTTTCTGACTAAACTAACTAAAGTTAAAATATAGGACTTACTTTAAATGCTTTAATACAATAACATAAGACTATCGATCTGAAGTACCTGCTTGTAGGTTGACATTGAAAGTTAGTACTTATGTTATATTGTTATTAAATATAGATCGTTTTATGAGATTGTGTAATAATATAAAATTTATATTAAGAAACACTGGAGAACATATATTACGAAATATAGATTACCCCGTTCTTGTGATTCATTATATCTATACATGAGAGAATTGTAAAAGCTGACCTTCCACATTTTTATTATAAAACTATTAGTAAGTGTGGAAACTAAAAAAAAGTGTGAAAACACACAAAAAATGTAGAAAATATTTCACACCATACACCGCAAGATTAATATACTACTATTCCTAAACTCATTATGTATCTGTATTAAATTAAAATATCTATCACTATTTATCTCTCATGCCACCTCATTATAATTCACCCTCCAATTGGAGATGCATTAATGACAATTTTGATGATTGCTATTCTAAAGGGTGAGTGTTATGGTACTCATCTAAAAAATGGGAATATCGTACCTAACATGCATTTCATTGGTCTAAGTCAATATTTCATCATTATTGTCCACTTGAAAAAGGTAAGATACCTTGATCTGTTTAAATTTTATTTGGTTTGGTCTGTTGAAAACTAGTTTGGTCTGTTCTGATTTGTGAATGAATTAAGTCTAAATAAAAACATCCTTACTGTTTAAACAAATAATAAATTTATTTTGAAACACTGAAAAAGAAAGTGATATACTATCGGGGAGTACTATCTGTTATTTTGGGCGAGGGAGTATAAAATATAAAAATTGTTAATTTAATAGTCCGTTCAATATATAAAATGTTATCAACTTTCTCGGAGAGAGTATGATAACATTATTGTTACACTTGGGAATCCACTTAATTATTTGCGGATAATAATACTCTCCATATGGAAATAATGGATGACCCTCACACAATAATTATTCTTGAAATGATGAAAATGAATATTGTAAAATTAAATTTATTGCTCATTTATAGGGCCCTCGTGTTCTTTTAATATTCCGCAACTTGGAATATTATATCAGCAATTATTATCGGTCGTGCTACACGAGTACTTCATTAGAATTACTTTGCTACTAATTGGCTAGTCGTACTAAATAATGGAGTCCTATCATGGGTTTACTATAACAACTTATTTTGATAATGGGCGTGTACCGATGGGCATAGCTCAACTGGTAGCGAGCGAGTGCCATAAGGGTTAGGTCACGGGTTCGAATCCCGGCAACTGCGATTAGAGGTTACTATGCTAAAAAATGCATAGGGTCTCTGCAAGTACCGGGGACGGAGTCTCACTCTCTATCTGTCATATTGTGATTATAGTCCAATTTACATCCTCACATCGTGTCGTCCGGTCGGTGTTGGGGGGCACTTAGGGATGAGGTGTCATCCTTTTTTATAATGGGCGTGTTTCACATTAGGCTGATAGTTGATTATATTAGAGAGAATTCCCTAAATAGGAGTAAAAAC